AGTCTCATTCCAGACCCTTTGAAGATGTCGAATCCGATAAACTTTAACTCTCTCCCCTCCAACATTCTGTGGGATATCCTCCTAAAAATCACTTCTCGTTCCTACCGCGGGCTCTGCATAGCAAGGGTTTTCTCCAAACATCTAAACGACATTTCTAATGAAGAGGGTTTCTTACGAGCCGTAGATCTAATAGCTCTGACGATTCCATGGGTCTGGGATCAACATGGGAGGGTTGACGCTTTCTTTCGGTGCTGTTTGGAGTGTAGAAATCCCACAGCGCAATACCTACGAGCCGTTTCTCTAATCTTCTATGAAGATAGCATCCAAGAAGGATTTGACTTGCTAAAGGTGTCATCAAATGGAGGATGCCTCATGGCTACTTACACCATGGTTATGTTCTCTTTAACCATGGATGGTAGCCATGATGTATTTAACCACATTCGTGGTATAGTTCCGGCAGATGCAACGAAGATGAGGAAAACTATGCAGCACATTAACAGGTGCCCGACCACTTATAAGAAGCCTGACGTGTTTCACGAACCGGTCTTCCATGTTTTTGATAAGGCACAATCAAGGAGTTGTGCTTGTATGGATCTGCCAAACCAGCACTGGATGGATGATGAAAGCCTCGTGGACTCATATGGTGACAAACTCTGCAGTCCTTGCTTCTGGAAGATGGAATATGCCATATTCTGGAAAACCATCCCTGGATTTGCAAATGAATGGCCGCGGTGAAATTAGTTGACTCCATGTTTTATGTTTTTTGGATTTAGTTTAATGTTTACATGTCTATGTTAGATTTCGTTTGTAGACTTCGTTTGTAGACTTCGTTTGTAGACTTATAATTCTTATCATAATAAAACTTTCTGTTGACCTACACTACGGTGTACACTTTTCCGCATACACTTTGTTTTGTATACTCGAAAATTACAGAACTTAATTATAAGGGTGAAATCAAAAATTTGAAATATTAACATGTTAATAGACTTAATAGACTTCAGTACAGATACAATGACAACTTAGTAGACTTCAGTCAAAGACTTCAGTTTTAGTACAATATCCTAAACGAAAATACAACATATTTGGCAAGTTAATTATAAGATAGGTGGCCAAAAAACTTCCACACCTATCATCTACCAATTGCTAAAATGACCTCCAATCACATTGAAGGTCATTTATGCAAATAGCCCAAAAGTTGCCATAAAAATCAAAGTAATTAGTTTTAAGAACGAAAACACTAAGCTTGCCTATCATAGACATCCAACCCGGTTGCATCTAGCTTATCATGGCCCTTACATCCTGTTTCGTCATAGAGCTCTGCAGCCATTTTCTCCCTGATTTTTCGCATGTTTTTATCGCAAAGCTCCGGAGGAAAGGGCAAATCCAATGAATGACACTCGATGTACTTCAGGCAGTACACGCCGCAATCGCCACTCTGAATGTTTTGAGGTATCTCCGTACCTGGTACTCGCGAATGGGTGAACGGCGTGTAAGGGAATCTCCACTTGTCATCCTCAGGTGCACAGGTCTGAAGAAGGTAGGGTATCATAACCGCAAGAGGCTCCACAGCTTCAGCAATTTGTTCTTCAGATGCATGTTTGGTTCCCGCATGGCTATCCCATACCGTGATATGCTTCGTCACAAATGAGACCCATATTGCTACCCAATGGTCCTCCCTAATGTGCAACATGGAGTACAACGAGTCCACATCATATGCCCACGTCTTCTTAGTCTGGCAGTAGATAGGTAATTCGCCAGTGTAGTACGAATATGCTCCAGGCGGCAGAAGTTTGCCAGACCCATCTGCATTCGGCTTGGATTTTTTGAAGTCTTCGTAGTCACGCCTCCAAACAGTAGCAAACATGGAGTTCAGGAAGCAAATCCGGTCGGATACAAACCACTCCGGATGCTTGGATAATCGCAGCCTGAGTAGGTTGATGTAAGCTTCCATGTGCTGCACATTTGATAAGTAAGGTTTTTAAGGCCTTAAGAAGGGTTATCAATCCCCTTGTCAAAGTAGTATAAGGGGTGTCAATCCATATGTGTGGTAGTTAGGCACTAGTTTATGTGATAAGTTCTTAAGTCAAGTGATCAAAGATGAGTTTTGGTGTGAACAAAGTAACAAGAAAGCATAAAACAAGAAACAAACAAGCTATGATTAATGAACTAAGCAAGCAAACAAAACAAGATGATGGTGATTAAGCAAATGATAAAAGCTAAACCTCTAGATGTGATCATTGATTAGGGTGCTTTAGATATTGAATCATGATGCTAAGAACATAATGCAACACTTGCTACTCTTTAGTCTAGGCTTCCTAATCAGATTAATTCATTCTCATGACAATAATCCCTTTGCAAATCACTTAATCAAGTCTAACAACCATTAGATATAATCAAGCAATCAGCAAGCATAATGCATCAAGCCTAATAAGTGACCAAACAATCTCTCAACCAAGAAGACTGAATCTTATACAGAAAGACATAACAAGCAATCACATGATCTCAAACATTTCAACTTAGAACTCTAATCTAGACTAATCCTCTCATGAAGGCATTAATCTCTACACTAATCCACTTTCAAACCAAATCATCATTTGTGAAATATGAATCAATGAGCATTAAGAAACAGTTCTAATATGTCATTCATGCATTTAACAAATCATTCCCATGATGAAAAAGGCATAAACCCTTAAGTTAGCTCATTCAGGCATTTCATCAAACACCTTGTGGGTGGAGAAATGCCTAAGTTCTAGATCAAGCTTATAATGAGAGATCTAGCATTAAGAGCAGCTAACTAAGGAAATGAAATGAGAATCTAGACCCTAAACATCACAAATCAAACATCTAAGCACCCTAATCTACACACCTAGAAGTTTAAAAGATGACTACTCACTAATCATGAAGAACACATCTAATCTTTTGCAAGAGATGATGTTAATCATGATTAGAAGCAGAAATGAGATGATGAGATGATAAGAAACAGACTTAGATTGATTAAATCCTTGAGATATCTCTTAACAAACTCGTTTTTACACTAAAAAGGAAAGAGAAACAAGAGAAAAACAAGCTTAAGTCTTGGAAAAAACCCTAAAAAGCATATATAGTGTCACTTGCGGACCGGGTCAGCCCACGACAAACTGGGTCCTGACCCGGCTTTGATGGATAGTGGTGTGGTTTTCCACGGTCAGACGATGCTTGGACAGACCGTGGCAAACTGACCGTGGCAAACTGATAGTGTCAAAGTTCTTGGACAGATTCTCCATGATCAAGGTTGCCATGGCTTGATTTACACCATGTCTAGGGGTCGTGTCTCTTCTTTTCTGGGTTTGGGTGATGAACTTCTTGGATTGCCACGGTCTAGTAACTCTTGGTCAAGCCCCGTGGCAAGTGGTCGTGTCAAAATCCGAAGGTGTGTAAAAGTTGCCATGGTCAAGTCCTAGACCGTGGCATTCAAACCGTGTCAAAACCCGAATACTTGTAAAGTTCCTCCCAGCCAAGAGTTTGTTTGCCACGGTCAAGTGTAGACCGTGGCATGAAGATCGTGTCAATCGCCGAAAGTGTGTAGAAGTTGCCACGGTCAAGTCCCAGACCGTGGCATTCAAACCGTCTCATGTTTCACTTAGCTCGCATCATTCAGAGCTGTCTGGACCACTTCTCATTCCGGAGAGTATAACTCATAAGATACTTGTTAGAATTGAGTGATTCCGGTTGCAGAGGAGAGAGGACTCATATATCTACAACTTTTGTGAAGGAAACTTCGGTGCTTGGGAAGTGGAAGACTTCCTGGAGGGCTCATCTTCGCAGTGCATTTACACGATCAGAGAGAGGCGTCTAGACATGTGTCCATTCCGGAGACCGTATCTTCCTGATCATAGCTCCGAATTGAATGATCTTGGACGTTCTGGAAATAGGACTGAAATATCTCTGATTCTCATGAAAGCCCCGGAAACCTAATCGTTCTGGAATTGCACCGTACTTCGCATTCTTCGGAGCTCATCGGCTTGGTCCAAAACGGCAGCGAGACAGGAGTTTCTTCCGACGAGCTTAGCTTTCTTCTCACGTGTCCGAATTCCATGATTCCACTTGTTCTTGAACCTTGATCTAATCTACTCCAACTTTGATGAAGCCCCCGACAACTGAATCGGACTGGAAGGTTCCCCGGACAGGCGATCATTCAGGAGTATCGGATTGCTCCGGAATGGATGCGAGAGAGGTCTGTCTTCCGGTGACCGTATCTTTCAGCTCAGTGTTCCAAATGCCCTGATTCAACCTGTCCTGGGTTCTTGACTCAATTTTCTCCAACTTTACTGAAGACCCTGTAAGCTGACTCGGCCGGAAAGAGCTTCCGGTGACGCGATTTCGGAAATGTATCTGCACCCGGGATTTTTGGCCGAGAGACTTGACCGCGGTACGTGTTTTTGGCCGAGAAAGCTACCTGCGGGAAGGATTTTGGCCGAGAATCTTCGGCCATCAGTACATCATTTTGCCTAGAAACCCAAAATTGCTCCTTTTCACCATTTTTGATCATTTCAACTCCATTTCTTCATCTGAATCACATCCTCCACTCCAAATAAGCTCCAAAAGCACCTGTTTAACACTCCAAACCATGCAAAACTCTCTTGGACCTAATGCAATCTCCTAAGTCCTAAAACAATGCCTAAAGACCTAAAATGTATGCAAATGAGACATAATTTGGACTAGAATATGTACATTAAATGATGCAATTTATGAATATATCAACATTGGGGAAAATAAGAAATGAGTGAAGTCTGCAAACGAAGTCTATTATAGAAGTCTACGGAAGAAGTCTAACCACGAAGTCTACTATGAGAAAGTAAAACACTAACCGTATCAGCTAGCCATTTCGTCGGTGCCGGAGAATGTAATACCAATCGATCGAAGAGTTTCTTGGGCGTTTTGGCCAGGCACTGTACAAGTGAAAGAGTTAGAAAAGAAATAATACTATGAGGAAGTCTACTTACGTACGTATAGAAGTCTACTTACGGGTTTGATTTGATAAAGTTCATTAGAGTGGTATGCTTCGCCCTGACACCGGTTTGATCAAAAGGATCATATCCACGGGCACGGCCGGAGTGAGATGCCGACGATGGAATGATGGCCTTTGCGGTGCTGTTTCCTAAGAAGGGACTCTTCTGTGTCTCAGCCAGCTGGCGGTGTCGGGCACTCGTTGCTCGGGCAACTAGCTGAGCCGCTTCTCTGGCTTTGGCATTTTTGGCAAGTGCAACCGCATCGAAGTCTACATCACACGTCTTCGGGTCAATTTCACAAATACTAGGCTCTGGGGCCTCTTCTTCATTAACGGCAGCCTTCTTTCCTTTTGCATCCCCGGGGGCGTTAACACTCTCACACGCACCAACGTTGACATTAGCCTTCTTCGGAGCATCATCTTTCTCTGAATTACTCTGCAGTATATTGTCAGAAACATGCATGAATATACAAATGAGTACACCAATGTTATAATTTAGTAACATGTTTTATCATAGTCTGAAAATTGTAAACAACAAGTTTTGAAAACATAAGTAAATAATCTCACATGGTACATAACAGTAGTAAACATGTTCGAATTCAAATGACATTAGTATTAAGTGTTCCTAACTTTGTGTGATCTTGTTCGCATGTAATGTTTTCGTATAGGCGGAGGGTTTTTGAAACTAACCCCTTCATGCTTCTTGGATCCAGTGCCCTGCTGCTGGGTTGGCTCTTCCTCAGTGTGCTTCGCCGACCCTGTAGTCAACTCTTCTACCGCACGCTCTACAGATTCAACCTTCTCGGTGAGAATTTTGATCTGCTTTTCACAGCTACCAAGACCATTCAGCATCTTGGTTGAAAAGCTATTGAAGCATTGGTCGAAGTGCGCTTTCATAGTAGCGACAACTCCGACCCCTTCATCACCAACGAATGATGCGGCAGATGCAGAGGCTGTGCAGGGTCTCTTGCGACTTGATTCATCTGAGGGAAGGCTCCTCTTTCCGGCTTCTGACTTGACGATGTGTGCACCCAAAACACCTTCCAAAGGCCAATGGTCTTTTGAGAACTTGAAATTGGGGTCATGGAGTGCATTGACAATCTTGAAAATATCTGGATCCTGTTCGTCATCATCCCACACGGGAAACATATCCGCCAAGTCCTTAGCCACGCAGGACTGTATGCGAGCCTGGAAAAACACAATTAATAAATGGATTTAGAGCCATATGAAGCCTCGGAAAACTACGTATGAAGTCTACTCCTGAAGTCTAACATAGATTTCTACTCCTGAAGTCTAACACAGAAGTCTACTCCTGAATGTCACACACTATTAATGACACATATAGAAGTCTACACATGAAGTCTACTTCTGAAGTCTACATTGAAAACTCATTACTACATAGAAGTCTACTACACTAATACAGTACCTGTTTTAGCATGTTGGCGTTGACGTTCTTTCGTCCTCTGGATCCTTTGTAAGCCAGCAAAAGAGGTTCTTCAGTAACATTTGGCAATGGTTCGCCAAATTCAGCAGCAAAATCCGGTAGAGCATAGTAAACCCACAGTTGAAGAGCTTGCACAAATCCTTCTATATGAATGTTTTTGCTGAGATCTTTCTCCTTAACAGAATTGATCAAATGCTGAAAAGCAATTCTTCCCCATGGAAACTCCTTAAAACCTTCGAGATCCATCACTAGTCTGGCATGGTTGACATTTGTGGATGAGCCGAGTCTCGTTGCCACTATGAAACCAGCGTAGATCCCAAGATAACCCAACCGCAGCCTATCATCACGAGACCATGATGAGCAGTTGGAACAGGCTTCGATAATTTCGGTAGTGCTTGGGCCCGACTCGGCATCGACCCCCATTAGCTCCCAAAATGCACGCGTGTCATCTTCAAGCGCAAGATCAGTTAAAGCCAAGTTATCCACGTACCCGCAGTTGAGTCCGGTGATCTCCTCAAACTCATGCAATGAAAACTGAATTGGAGTGGTACCAATGAGACTCCATATCTCGTACCTCTGCTTGCAAACTATCTGAAAGGTCAGCATGTGGTGCACCAGCCTAGAAGCCCAACCAAAATCCAACTCGTGGAACTTTAAAAAGACACCCAACGGTGACTCGTAAATCTCTTCCCATTCATCCTCCTCTAGAGCTGACTTTAGTGCAGGGACCAGCCTATAATCATCAGCGTAATAGCCGATGCTTTTATCCGGGACTGGTTCAAACCCTTTGGTGTAAAGTCTTCTGGGGAATTCAGAGGCCATTATCTAACAAAGATTCCTGCATCAACGGTAACAAAGCTCTAATGAGAAAAACTAGTAACGGTTTGAAACTATACCCGAATGAAGTCTACATTTTCAAAATGAAGTCTACTTTATCAAAATGAAGTCTACTTTCCCAAAATGAAGTCTACTTTCCCAAAATGAAGTCTACTTTCCCAATATGTGAAGTCTACTTTCAGTAAAAGAAGTCTACTTTCACAAAAAGAAGTCTACTTTCACTAAATGAAGTCTACTTTCACAAAATGAAGTCTACTTTCACAAAATGAAGTCTACTTTCACATTCTAAGTACAATCCGAGTCGCGAAGTCTACTGAAGCCAACCGAAGCAATCTTAACATTAAAAAAACAGTATATGAAGCAATCAAAACATCATAAATACTACATATGAAGTCTACAGAACCCAACCGAAGCAATCAATACATGATAAATACTGTATATGAAGTCAATCTACAAAGTTTAGAGTGTTACCGCCTTTATTAGATGCAGCTGGCGCCGAGAAAATACAACCAGATCTGGTAAAAAAACCTAAGTCAAACCCGACGGAACAAAAATTACAGGAAGATAGAAGAAATTTAAGAATTGCTAAGTATATAACTTCGGAACAACATCTACTAACCGTTTTGAGGCAGGAAATTACTTTAACCTCCAACGGCGAAAGCAAATCTGCAAAAAAAAAAAAAACCCTAATTTCATATCTGGAAAATGGGGGTTTAGAAAACGGAACGGTGATGAATACGGAGGAGTAGGGAAGCATGGGGGTGTGGTTGGAGAAAGAAAACTTGCCTGAACGAGTTTATCGGCGGCAGTTCTGAATGTCGACGGCGCCGGAGCAGAGAAACGGAAATCGCCTTCGAGTTTTTTTTTTTTTTACACGAACTTTTCGACGGTTTTTTTTTAACGGGATCTGTAATTCGTATATATAGTCTGGTAATTCCGTACGGTTCGGGTAAGTTTTTTCTGGTTAAAGTTGCTAATTTTCCGGGGTCTAGGTTAATTTACCCGGTTAAGGGCAGTTTCTCTTGGTTAAGGGAAGTTATTCCCGGTTTAATCTCGGTTAAATGTCCGTTAGGTTAATTTTTATGGTTTAGTAGACTTCAATATCGAAGTCTACAACTTTTAAAACCTAAATAATAAATTTACTTCTACTTAATTTAAAAACATACATTTTCATTTACCAATGTGAAAAAATATTTTTTTTGCATTTGGGTTACGATTACGGAATTTATGATGGTAAATTTCATATCAAAATAATTTTTTATAAATTTTTAAATTAAATTTACAGATTTAATTACTTAGTAGACTTCAGTTTTACTTTAGTAGACTTCGTCAGGGAGAAAACGGTAATTAGGACATCCGTTTTTTGTTTACACATATATGATTAAATGATCTTTTTACTACCCCTGTAGATTATATCTGTCAAATGTTTTTCCAGGGGTCTACTTTTGTATTCAAAATCAAGTTTTGGGTTATTTTTAGCAAAAACTCCAAAATTTTATGTAATGTTAAGTTTGGAAAAAATATTGAATAAACAATTTTAATCACTTTTTCGAATGTTTTTATTTTCACAGAACGAGGTTAAGATTTATAATGGTGCTAGACTTGATATTGCATGATATGCTGATAAAAATAAAATATTTGAATTCTAAATTCCAAAAAAAAACTCGAAGAATTATAAATTTTTTAAAAAATATTGTAAGATGAAATATAAAAAATATTTATAGTAAAATCGTATTGAATGATTTTTTTATTAATCTCTTTTTATATTAACTCTTTTAGTATTTAGATGACACACAAACTTCATCAAATTTAAACAGACCACAACTACATAATTGTGGCTCAAATGTTTTACAACCATATACATTAAAATATTTCAAAATTTTAAATTATCATGGTCCACATTATAATTTTTAAATCGGATATTACAATATAATTTATAAATATTTCACTAGATGCTCAAGTTACTATCCAATTATTTGGGTGTGTGCCAACCGTTTTTTTAACAATTTTTTAAACAAACATAAAGAAAGAAAGAAAGAAAGGACATGTAGAGGCCTATACTTACATGAGTATGCCTATAAATTAGGAATGAAAAAAAGAGAACCCGCATATAGAAATCAAAAGTGAAAAAAAAAATGTTTCTAAACGTGAAAAGTAAGGTCAACTTGAATGGAGCTATCTTGATGCTCTCTTGTTTCTTTAGTGCTGTTTTTGCAACCATTCCACTAAGCCCAGTAGCTACTAAACAATCCAAGAACGCAGTGCCTTGTAACACTCATGGTTCGAGGGTTGCAGTTGTTGATGGTGTGGACGCTAAACTCTCGGCCGAGCAAAGATTCATGCGAGACCGTCCACCAAGTGCTTACTGCGTGCGGATTGAAGGGTGCAGCGAACTAATTACTAAATCCCCCAACGTGCAAAAGTTCGAGACCCGCCCGTTTAGTGTTGGTGGATTCAACTGGTACTGATTAATTTTTTTTTCTTTTTTTCAATTTTTTTTTCTTTTTTTCATTTTAACTTCTTAATTTCTCCTTGTCACTTCCCAAAAGGGACATCATTTTACTGATTAATAACTAAACTTCTTATCATGCGTAATGTTTATTTTAGTATGTGTTATGTCTTTTATTTATACCGGGGAGGTTATGTGTAGGACTTTTATTATCGAACCGTTTGGAAGCACCACTAAATTAGGGACTTGGATCTCTGCATACGTTGCAATAGATCCTTCAGGGCTAGTTGGCGAAAACCGCGAGGTTTATGCAGATATCAGGTTTTTGGCCTACCGCAAGACTTTGGATCAATATTGGACATCTATGGGTATGTAATCTTAAATAATATATTGCTATATCAAGAGTTATTTTTTTTCGTCTAATGTAAACTCATTCACAAAACACTAAACTACAAGTCTTATATGCAGACACCTTGGGGAAATCCCAATTTCATCCGACATGTTAACTTTATAGCTAAAGATAGGGAGTATATTTTCGACAATGACCAATGCGTGTTTGGCGTAGACATCTCGGTATATCCTTACTTTAACAAATGGGAGGTCTTGTCTATCGATAAAACGGTCTATGGGCCTAAGTCGTGGAAGCTTTTACATTTCTCAACACTATTCAAAGACTTTTATGTATCTGACGAATTTTCCATTGGAGGAAAAAAAATGGTAAGTCTATTGATGACACATAATAAAAGGAAACATAGATACAAAACATATTTTGATTTATTCAATTTTTTATTAAATATTTATTCAGGGCGTTCAAGGTTTATCCCAATGGTAATGGTACCGGAGAAGGGAACTCATTGTCTCTTTATGTGATACTAAGTGAAAACCAAACCTTGAAACCTTACGAAAAGGTTTATGTCCGAGCCAAGCTGCGAGTTGTGGACCAAAAACAAGCAAAACATGTCGAAAAACCAAGTAATTCGTCTAAGCTTATATAATTTAAATTTTATGTGATCTATAAACTTTAATATTAATGTTAACATAAACATTTTTCTGTTGTTATCTTTACAGTTTTATCATGGTTTGATACACCGGCCGAAGGTTCTGGCTTCGAGCAGTGTGTGTCTTTGACTGATCTCCGAAATCCAGCCAAAGGTCTCATCGTCAATGATACTCTGTCCGTACAAGTTCAGTTTGAGGCTATCTCATCTACTAAATACTATTCTACCAATGATGCTCAACTTATGAGTACTTTCTAAATGTTTACCTGTCAGATCTTAAATAAGAAGCTTTTGTATCTATGCAAAAGCGAATACCAATAATAATAATGACAATTGTTACTTCGACCGCGCGCCAAACTCATTAGAAATTCGCATTAGTTCCCAAGCATCAAAATGTCTACATGTGACTTATCCTAAGCTTCAGATTCTTGGATTCACTTTCCCTTTTAGTTTGGCTCTTCCTATGCCATTCATCTCATCATAAACATCAAACTAGATAAGGTCATTACTTCATTAAACAATTTTGTTAAACCCAATTTTTCCTTCATTAGTTTTAAACTGATTAAATAATGTTGCTATTAGTTTATTTAAATCTAATGCATAACTCTTTAAACGTAAGCACTAACAAAACAAAAGTAATAACATGGCCATAGCTCCCATTAGTTTTCAACTTATCCAACGAATCTCTTTCTCTTACGATCCCAAAGTAGAAATAGGGGGTTACAAATTTCCCCATCTCATTGACTTTTAATCTCGACCTAAACATGTAATATAGTAGTTTGTACTTTGTATTATTGTCATTGAGAATTCAATTCAGTAGCATGCATATTGTTGAAAATAAAAAACCAAAAAAAGACAGGACATAACTTTAATTGCCACTCTAAACTCTATCGTTCCTTTATTTTTTCTCATGCCATTAAAGAAAAACATCGTAGTAATAATAAAATATGTGTTATGCTTTGTATTTTTCACAATATTTTGCATCTTTCTAGTCTTTTCCTCTGAAAATTTTCTTTTGTCTTTTAAAACAAAGAAGGGGACAAACGAGGGACACGCATAACTCACAGGAGCACGCCTATAAATGAAGCAGGTGAAACCTCTCCAACAACAACATAACAAAAAAAGGTTAAAGTGAAAACAAAAAGATTCCTAAACGAAAAGATTCCAATATGAATGGAGAAATCTTGCTGTTCTCTTGCTTATTTTCCTCTCTTTTTGCAACCACTCAACTAAACCCAATAGCTACTAAACAATCGAACAAAGCATTGCCTTGCAACACTCATGTCGCAGCAATTAATGGTGTGGACGCTAAGCTCTCGGTTCTGGCCGAGCAAATGCGAGAAAGTCCACCAAATGCTTGCGTGCAGATCGAGTCGTTCACCGAACTAATAACTAAAAAGCCCACCTTTCAAAGGTACGAGACCCGTCCGTTCAGTGTGGGGGGATTCAACTGGTATAATTCAAAACTCAAGTTCTTATCATTACATAGTTTTGATTGATTATGTTATGTCATCTGATTGATTATGAGCGTTGTTTCTTAAAAATGTGTAGGAGCATACGTTGAGTTTGATCAGTAGATCAAAAGTCACACAAAGTAAATAACATGTTTTGGTATCATGATAATATGATGAATGTATTTACTGAGGAGAGAATAATTGAGACTGATATGAGGAGATGATAGAAGAAAATTATATCTTCCATGTAAGTAGTTACCCTTAATACAATCTACTACCTATTAAAAGAGTTTGTGTTCGATTGGAACTACATAGTTACCCAATCATCGGAGTTTCGATTCCCATGTCTTTCTTGTGAGGTTGAAGGGCCAAGTGGCCCAAGTGAGCCGGGCGTATAGGCTCATGACAAAAGAAAAGAGAGTTTGTGTTCTTATTATTTTGGAATCTCTATCACTATATATTTTTCGTTTTCACTCTTGTCGGCAAAACTTTGTGGAAATCTATTTACTAGTAAAATAACATTTTTCTTCGCCTACAAACTCGAACTACCAATTACTGGCCTTGTTGTTTGATCAAGGATTATCTCAAGACAAGCACAACGAAAATATGTTTATGTATTTTTTTGGACAAAAAAAAACTGTTAAAATCCAATTTAATTTCAAAATAAATTTATAAGAAGTAGATAAGTGGCTATAGCCAGAGTTTGAGTATTTCTGTTTGCTTGGTTCTCTGCTTCGAGCCTGAAACAAAATCTGTCCATTTGGTAATATTTGAAAAAAAATGTTATATATTGGCCAATCTCAGGCTGATCATATAATGAAATTAAAATATATATATAAAAAATTAGATAGGAATGTGATTTTTCAAAAGAAACTGTAAAAACGGAAAGAAGCAACAACAATATAATATAGATGGGGCAACAAAACCAGGTTTTATATAAAAACAAAAAATAAACATAACAGCAGATCAACTGAACTTCTCTTAAACCCAGACACAGCCATATTTTATTACACACTTACTTCCACGTTCTTAATCAAAACATTTCCACTTTCTGAATCACAACATTCATCTTCAACAAGTCACCACGCAAGAAACTGTGAGGGATCAACATGAAATTGTTTTGAGGGATTTGAAAACTCAGTTCACGAATCCTCTTCACCTCTGGTGATTGGTAAGTCATAATGTGTCCATCCTCACTTTTGTAGAAGATATCATACGAGAACTCTCCACCTTCTGAAGCAGATGGTGCAATGCAACTTACAGTTACATACACACCATACGGCTCCTTAATACACTGCACCACAAACAGTAGTTTCTTCACACCCTCCCTTTTGATTAATATCTTATCACTGATGTTCATCTGGACACTAAAGGAAACGCCACACTTGAACATACTATCCGCTCTTTGTCTACTGTCACCTTTCAGGTGAGTAAATCTATAGTGATCGTAGAGATCCTTGTATGGTCCAGTGTAGTTGCAGTCTAGCACAGGGCAGGAGCACAGAGAGAAAGCACATTCTTTTTCATGAGTTGATACTTTCCCATAAGACACTTTCTTAGCGCAACCTAACGTGGCGTTTTGGCATGGGATCAAAATCGATTCAAGAACACTCTCCATTGCTCTGCAGCGAATGTGGCCGATAGGCAAAGTACAAGAAGGGCATTTATCACTCAGTTCGGCACAGCAAGAAGAGCAAGCCAAATGCCCATTATCACACTGAAATGAAAAAATCCACTGATTAACAATCAAAGCTACACTCGAGAAAACCTAACTAATGAATTCCACTTGACTTAACATCACTCAACCATCAGATGAACAAGAACATGAAGAGAATAAAAAAGAAGATTAACCAAAAATCAGATGTCATCTAGTAGATCTCGGTCTTAACTCCTAGTAAATGACCACAATTTCAAATATAATCATTTTCATTGCAAAGTTTGACCCAGAAAAAGAAAGCAGCTATCTAAGTTCCAAATCAATATGTATTAGAAACGTAACCTGGAATATTGGAATATTGAGTGGCTCGAAGCAGATAGGGCAATCAAGTACATCGAAATCCACCATCGCCGAGCGTATATTATCTGTTCGCTGCCTCTTGTGCAAGCGAATGTTGCCCGAACCATCGTTTTCGCTTGAGGCAGACTCCATATCAAAATGCTTTAACACAAAATGGAATATGGAACAACTGTTTAAACAAAAAATGGAACTAGTGAATCGAGATGATTAGTCTACATATTTAAATAGAAGAGATGGTTTAAACCTAATTAAAATCACTTTCCGTCTTCACAGGCTCCAATCATCCGATTCCCGAAGAGTTTCAAGTAAAAGCTGCATGCGTACATTATGACTTGGACGGATTTCGAAGAGTTTGATGGGCTCAAATAAGTTAATCAATTAACCATAAGTAAATTAAGTAACTTTTACTTTCGTAGACTGTTTTGCCACGTGTCAGTTTACCAAACTAAGATTTTATTCAAGTGTCGTTTGATCTATCCGGTATAAATATGGTTATAACGTTCGGATTATTATGAAACTAGGTGGTAGTCCGCACCATGTGCGGGCAGAAGTGTATTAAAAATAAAAGTTTTATTATTTGTTCTGAGAGTGATGATCACATACTCTAATTTTTCGTAAATTTGAGTTGTTTAACTTAAATAGACGAAAAGATTAATACTGTGAGTAATTTACATAATACTATCAAACGTGAAACACAAGAAAACTTATAACTTATCAAACTAAAAAAAACAAAGGCAAAGAGAGCACCGATCAATTATCCCAAAACCTCAAAATATAATAGTTGATGTGTTTTGAATTCGGTAAAAGATATAATGTTAGAAGATTTAACACAAAATATAATTGGGTGATCACATCTTTAAACGATTAACTTTATTATAAATAAGTAACAAACACAAATATAACAACAATTTTGGACATTTGACCAACAATTAAAAGATCTAATAACCATAACGAATATATTGTTCCATTTACTAAAACATTGTAATTACAGAAGTTTATTTTCTGTAATTCCTTTTATCTCTCGCTTGCCAGAAAATTTATCTCCATTTTCTTGCAAGTGTTTGTCATTCTAATTGGTTCTTCCATATGTTTTTTTTTTATAACTTATTTAATTTATGTTTCTTCTTATTAATCTTTTTTGACCGTGACTTATTCTTTATCATATTTTTTTTTCCAACAGTTGTTCTTCTCCATTCTGTTTTGGTTTGTTAGTCTTTCTCTTCAGATTATTCTTTTTCATTGTTTTTGTCTTCTCTGACTTATTATTCTTTCGGTTTTTCTTCATCTTCTACTTCTTCATCTCTATCTTCTTCTTTCCTTCATCTTCTCTATATTATTAATTTTCTTTTTTTCATGGTATTTTCCCTTAATCTCTTAATCATCTTGGGCTTCTTCTTTTTTATAATCTTTGTCTTCTTCGACTTCTTCTTTATTGTCTTGTTCTTGTTTTTCTTCCTTCTTATAATTCATCACATTTTTCTTCTTTGTCTTCTTTGATTTCTTGTTCTATGTTTTTCTTAGCTTCTTTACTCATCTTCACCTTCTCATACTTTGTCATCTTCAACTTCAGTTTTTCTGTCTTATCTAGAACATATATGTCCTCTTGTTTCCTGTGTTTTTCTTAGTCAGCTCTCTCTTCTTCTCCTCCTCTTTTTTTTTTGATCTCATCTTCCTCGTTTCCTTCTTCATCTTCATCCTCTTCGACTTTGACTTCTACTTCTTTATCCTCTTTGTCTTCTCCAACACCTGCTTTTTCTTCATTTTATTTCTTTTGATTTTTTTTTAATCTATCATTCTTACTTATCTCGCCTTTGTCTTCTTCCTCTTCTGCTTTGTCTTCCTTTGCTTCCTCTTTTGATCTTCCTCATTATATTTTTCTTCTTCTTTTTCTTATTTTCTTTGACTTATTTTTCATAATAATCATAATCTCAACTTCTTCTTTTTTCCACTTTCTTACTCCCCCTCTTCTTCCTCTTATTCTTCTACTACCTAGTTTTCTCATTTTTTATTTTTCTCTAACTTCTCTAATGGCTGATTCTTTTTCTTCTTCTTCTTCAACTTCCCCATATTGTTATCCTTATGCTTCTTCATTAGTTTGGGTTATCAACCTTTTTATTTTTCTTTTCGGATTTAATTGATATGACTTTGTCTTTGTTTTTTTTGACTTCTTCGTCGTCTGTTCGTCTTCTTTTTCTGCTTCTTCTTCTTTTGTATCCTTCGATTTCTTCAGTAGTTTTTTTTCTCTTATTTTGAATATGAATTATAATTGATAGTTGCATTAATTTGTACAGAATCAATTTTCTTAAAGGTAGTATAATAATTCTTGTGCAATAAAAAAAAAGAACGGATTTGTGGGCTAACATGTTTTTTTCATCGTTGTTTTGCTCTGTTTATGCTACCTCTAACGGAGGTTTCATGAAGCTTTTTTTCATTCAATCAAAATCAAATTCAGATGAAATACTTTTACAATACACAACTTTTCAAAAACGATGTCTCATTGCTCTCATTGGAAATCAGATCATTACGTCCGTTTTCACATGTAAAATAATAATAAAATGATCAAAAAGTTGCAACAAATCTGTAGAAGTTCAGAAAAAAAAACGTTTCGTCATTCTTATTCCCTATTTTGTTCTCTTAGTTTACTTTCAACCATCTTAGCTATCTCTTCATTCTCCTTCTTCATATCATTCTTATGTATGTATTGTGTTCCTCTTCTTTATTGTTTGTAAAGGTCATTTTATATATTTGTGTTCATAAATGTTTATGAATAATCAGTTATTGTTCGTAAATATAAATTTGTAAAAAACTAATTAACAACAATTATTATTTATAATCACCTGTTAGATTCATGGGAAGATATGATTCCAAAGTTTGAGCCAATCAACTATAGTTTACGGGATGAACTCTAGGTTTAAGAAAAAAAATAAAGAAGCTCAGGTGAATTTATACTTACGAACACGAATATAAAAAATTAGTTATCTATACAAAGAAGCTAAGGTTAATTTAATAAACTAAGCTATCTATAGAAAGATGGAATATAAGAAAATAGGCTATCTATACAAAGAAGCGCAAGTTAATTCAGGAAAGTAAGCTATCTATACAAAATTAACATCTCCTTACAAATAAGAAAATATAAAAGACGTTTATGAACAATAAAGAAGAGGAACATGACCTAAGAAAACAGTGACGGTTGTTGTAAGTGAAAAACATATGTAGACGATAGGGTATATATATAGTGTAGATCAGATGTTTTAGGCTTTAGAATTTCTTTGTTGGTGGCCCATTTAACTGATTGGTGGCTATGACCGAGAATAAAACCGCTGGCCCATTAACAAACTCGATAAAAAAAACTATGTCACACATATTGACACGTAGGATTAATGATTATCCTATCAAAATAAATTAAAACGACACATATATAGATTTTAATAATGATACATAAGTGAATCGCTCTGGAGACGACACATAGAATTTTTGACTTTACAAATAATAGTATAGATTTCAGCAGGTTAATAATTTTCAGTTGGGCTTTTATGCCCAACTCGTATGGAGAATACACAGTATATGTGTGATTGTGATTACCGACGTAACTCTAATTAATTAAAAGGATTTTATGATAAAAAGTAAAGTAGTTTTAATTAATAAACTACATGTAGAAACTTATAGGCCACTAGTGATAATTCCTCAAGACAAATCGATTCGTAACTGTTAGAAAACTTATATGCTCAAAGGTTATATTCATACTTCAATGCTCAAGTTATTAGTATTTTCTGAATGTTTACCTTGTCAGATCTTTAAATAAGAGGCTACTAGGCTAGGCATGTATGCAAAGCGAATAATAATAAAAAAATTAATAAAGATTGACAATTCTTACTTTCGATACCAACCTCATTACTATCATTAGAAAAAGCATCATTACAAAGCTCCAAAATGTCTAAATGCATGTATGCAATTAAATATAGAAAAATTACAGCTCGTTTTTTTTCTCTTCAAAATTTGTTAGTGAAAATCGCACAACGGTATTTTAAAATCTATTATATAAAGAGTAGGTTGTGTCTCATAAACTTGACACATCAGCACTTCCTCTTTTGACACATCAGCTCTCTAAAATTTAATTTAGAATTAATTGTTACAGTCTCCTCTATTTAAATCACATAGTTCAAGATGAATTTAATTAACAATAAAAATTCCAAAGCTCTTTTCGATGCAAATTTCTCTTCTTATTAATGGTTGTTTCGGAAAATCATTAGTTCCCTCCTCACCTTTCATAATTGTATCTCATCAGATACTCTTATAATTTCATTGCTTCCACTTGGATTGTGGTGATTCTCGACACTTAAAGATATATGCTCGTTCGTTCAACTGATTGATCGGATGTGATGGTCATATCATATGTAACTCATTTACTCAAATTTGAACCGTCTGAAGGGAAAGTTGACAAATGAAAAAGGCTCGGATCTGAGTGGAAATACTCAGATTATTTCGCTTGGTGTTCCTTTATTGACGAAAAGAGGTTTGCGTGAGGTTATTCCGTGCATCTAGATTGAGTTATACCAGTGTAAAGAGATGAACACGGCTCGATTTCAATTGTTTGATGAAGTTCCTTAGAGAGTTTTCTATTGTCGTATTGCGAGTAATGAGTATTAAATAAAGCTGTCTTGGTTTATTTATTTAGTTATATATAAATATGTATATATATTTTCATGAAACTCTTCTGGTATCAGTCACCAAAGTTTACATCGCTTCTGGTATTTTACAACTCAGAGTTCTTTTGTTCATCAATTATTATAAGTAAGGAAAATATTTACAATATATGTCTTGGTTTATTTATTTAGTTATATATAAATATGTATATATTTCCATGAAACTCTTCTGGTATCAGTCACCAAAGTTTACATCGCTTCTAGTATTTTACAACTCAGAGTTTTTTTGTTCATCAATTATTATAAGTAAAGAAAATATTTACATATATATTGTAAGCATATGACTGTGCTTAATTTTGCAGGGAAATGGTCGCTTATTTGTAAACATATCTATTCTATTAAAACAGAAGCACATTTAGTTCTTGCATCCAAACACTCCCAAAGTTTTTTTATAATATTTTATTTTATTTTTATATTTAATTTCCAAAAATTAGTTATTAATTTAGATATTATTATATTTCCTAAAATCTAGGTCATCTTTAATTTAAATTTCAAATTATTAGAAATTTAATTAAATTTAGTTACAAAAATTTGCATTCAATTTAATTTAAATTCAAAAAATTCAAAAAATTATAACTAAATTTTATTACGAAAATTTAGATAATAATTTTAATACTTTAGAATTTATTAAATACAGAAAAGATTTAATTTTAAATTTTAAATTTAAATAATATTTTTATAAAAATGCATTGTAAATAAATATTTTATCGTATTTTATCATAAACACTCGGTCTAAAATATCAAATATTTGAGATTAATAAATATTTATATTATACAATAATATGATCGAGCTGATTAAAGTTATATATATATATTTAAGGTCCATGAGTTAATTTATTAAAACATGTAAGATATTAAGATGATTTGAGACAATTAAACTAACAAGTTAGCCTATATATATATATATATATATATATTTTAATAGCACAAATAGTAAATAAATATCTTATTATATTTTTTCATAATCAATTGGTCCAAATATTCCATATTAGTAAATATTTATAGGGTTTTACAATTATAATTATAGTCTTATACGAGTTAGTTTGTCAAAACATGTAAGATACTAAAAATGATTTAAGACAACTAAACAGATGGATTAGCAAATTCATAGATATATAGATTGTTTATGTGTAAATCTAAATTCACATAATAAAAAAGTTTATAATTAATATTAGATCAATGTATACTTAATTAATGTATACTCTTATTCTACTAATATACAAATTTTACTGTTTAAAATTAAAATATGATAACAATTTTTTGATTTAAAAAAATAAATAACAAAAATAAATTATATCTAAACAAAAAAGATAAATGCAACTTATATTAGAAATAAAAAATAAAACATTCCTGTGCGGATGCGCGGGATTAAAATCTAGTTAGTTTTTATACTTGAGTACAAACAGAAATTAGTTACTCGAAAATTTTGCTAAGAAAAAATAATTATATTTTCCTTTTTCTATCCGTTCACCAGCACAACTTGTGTTATATTGGATTTGTGTCTCTTATAAATTGCAGTGGTGTTATTATCGCTGAAGGCATTCTTAGCGCCAGAAAGTCTCTTACGAAGGTGTCCCTTCACGTTTGATTTTTGGAATTTTTTTTTATCTGTTTTTAGACTATATAAACAAAGGTTTTTCCCTAAAGTTTGGTATTGTTTATTTTTAATTGTCAAGATTATTTTGATTTTTCCTGTTGTATGTCCAACTTTCCCGTTGTGGCTGTGTTGGAGTTTTGTACCCATTGCTACATCGCTTTGGCTATTGCCTGGATTAGAAAGAATCCATCATACTCACGTGGTCTAGAAAATATAATTGTTGTACATAAATGAAGTCTACATTGTGAGAATGCGAAACTTGGTTTGCTAAATGCATTATGTATGAAAATTTCCAAAATAAAAAGATGGTAATAAAGAAGGGAAGTTAGTTCATGAGAATATTTCTATAGTAATGTTGGTGAACCAAGGGATCTGGAGTTTGTAAAAAGTTTGAAATAATGTGCCATTCTTAAGGATTAAAAATTTAAAATCAACAAAGGTTTTCTTAGATTCTTGCTCATTCTTAAGGATGACTTGATTCTTTGTCCTAGAGACTTACCGAAGCAGTTTCAAAGGAGTTAGAGATTCTCACAATTCTTTGTTCATCAGTTCGTGTCACAGGGTGTACTGATCATCCATGTGATTTATAATTCAAAGTTAAGTCCAAATAATTAAACCACTTATCACTTCACATTATATACAGAGCACTTCATCATCTACAAAATAAAAACTTATAATTCATAATTCAATTAATGTTTTGTGAAAATCTCTTTGGGAGAAAACGTTTGGATTTCATAAAAAAAGTTGTTAGAATCTCTTCTAAATTTACATAATTTTAGTTTGAGTACAAAATTTTATTTTTTTACCATGGAATTTCTAATATGATATTAAAATACCAAAATGAACAAAGCTAAAAAATAAAACTACATTACCAACAAAAATATATATAAAGACCCCGCGCATATGCGCAGGTATGCTCCTAGTAGTATTTAAGGATTTTAGTCAATCTTCTCAATGTAAATTGATTTTGAGTTAGAAATCCATTATAATTCATATGTAACAAAATTGTTAGCCTTTGCTAAGGGGAAGTTTCAGATCTACGGATTCACTTTTCCAATTCTCTATGTTTATTTTGTGGTCCTTATTCTCTTGTAAAAACATAAGATTTGTTTTAATATCTTATAGAAGAACAAAATTCCAATAAATTTTTAGATTTTATCATGAAAAGATGATATATATATTTCCACATTTGCTTCAACATTTGCTTTTCTTTCCCAAAAACTTATAGTCCGCTGGGTGTACACAACAAATGGGAGTGACTTACTTGTACATTGTCTACATGTAATCATGTATATATATGATGTTACTCGAAATCAAGTATCAGTCGTTTATTATCTACGAAAAGACTGAGAAAAGAAAGAGGGGAAAAGAAGAGAAACAAAGCTGCCAAGAAAATAAAAGAAAAACTACATATTACAAAAGATATATTTTCGAAATGAAAATTAGCAAAAGCCCCTAATTGAGCGAGAGGCTCTCAAGATTTAAGCATGAGCATGGTGTAAATGGTAGAGATAGTGTTGGTTGTTGAATACACAAGTCCAACAAGTGCTGTTAACGTTTCCAAAGCTTGGTTCCTTTGGCATCGTCAATGGTCTGCTCGATCTACACCCAAACATTTATGCCAAAATAAAAAAAAATAGATTTAATTAATAACCATATGAATGATCATACACAATCCTCTAGTTCATTATAATTTATAAGAATGGTTTAATGATTTTTCACTTATACTGAAAAATGCATCTAACACTATATAAATTTATTTCTCTAATTAAAAAACTGATTACTTAGAAATAACACTAAACTATTATAATGTGCAATATAAATAAAAAAACGACATTTATTTTGGAACAGGGGAAATAAATCTAACGATGATGAAACTAACCTCTGTGGGAGAAAAGGCCGGTCGAAAAAAGGCATCAATTGAGCTTTTGGAACCATTTCCTTCCTCAGCATACGAATTTCTTCCTCTTCTATCATCTATTCCATTGTTCGATTTGACACAGTTTAGTTTTGAAATTTCTTCTTAAACCGAAGTAAACCGAATTCAGACTACTGTCATTCTTTTAGTTAAAGAAGTTCCGGTTTTATATCAATGCTCCGATATGCAAAGCATCAACTTGATTAATTTAGGTTAAAATGCATTATAATTCCAATGGTCCACATAAGTCTACCGAAAGTAAATGAAATGTTCAATTTTCGAGTAGCCAGATTCACATATATAGAGAGGCTCCACTCCAGTCATATTATGTACATGGTTTGGCGTCGGTTAACAGCTCAAGAGAGACCAAAACCAATCAGATTACGGTTTACCTCGGTTTAAATTGGTTAAGATTGTTCTCTAGCCTAATAGTGATTATAATCACATTTTAAAAAAAATATTATACCTTTTGCAACCTCTCCTCTTGTTTTTTCTGCAGTTTCGTGATATAATAATTAGTTGCAACCTGCGAAGATGGCAAATGAGCTCCAAGGATAAACACAAAATTTAATGGAAATAAGAAAAAAAATTTAAATCAAATTATTTATGGAAGTTTGAGTAAACCGAATAGTTGAACATGGCACGTTTCACTGCTCTATCGCCAGAATGAAGCTTGAACTCAGTAGGCTTTTTGTTCTCTTTCGCTGGTGCCTTTGAAACATTCTGATTAATAGAAAAAATTCAATAAATTTATGCATGGATAATTAACTAATTGTAAAAGTAAATACGTTTAATGTAGAACTGGTGAATTCGAAAAATATCTGACGTAACAGAAAAATTTTGTTCATGTAAATATGAATTATTTTTTTCTTTTATTTATGCATGCATATATATATATATATTATATTGTTATTATATTGTATATTTTCACAATTGATCGTAATCTTTATAAGGGTACCTTAGTCGCAGCTGGCTTGGTTTTGTCATGCGATCTGTCTTTGAGTTCCACTTTGGTCTACAATAAAATTTCAGTCAACAATCGAAGAAATCAAACCATTCTACATTAATCACTATACACACACTTGTAACGAAAAAACTTTACTTTTTTGACACATTAATTATTTCACAACTTTGGATAGAGAAGTTCACGTCCATAACAAACTATTAGTTAACTAAACTGTTATTAAAAATGGAGGATGAAATTGAAAAATGATTTAGTACTATTGCTTGAAAAAGATTACAAGAGACACACATGCACCCAAACAAAATACTACGTGTGAAACTTCTCATCAGAAGTGGCATTAAAACTATTATAAAATATTGGGACATCCGTACAAAATTCCTATTTCCTTGTTATTGAAATTGCTAGTAAAATGATGTTGACATCATTTGTATAATATTTTTTTGTTTTTTTAAACTGGAATATTTTGTTATCTTTTTCTCTAAAAGGTTTACTGGTATATCTTTTTTTTTACTGGTATATCTTGGAGTAAAAAGGTAGATAAGAAGAAAGAAAAGGTAGAAAACAGATGAAAAAAAGGGTAGAAAACAGATGAAAAGGGAAAAATTTAGAGTTATTTTTTCCACAATTTAAATATTTAGATGGAAAGAAAGACAGACATGTTTTTTTGTTACAACAGTATGGAAGAAAAGTGTTTTCTTCTTGATTAGTAAAAGTGAAACAAAAACGAATTTTTTTTCCTTTGTTATTTTACTGGCTGTATTTTTTACACCTGCATGCGATATATATAAAAGAAATATATTCTTCTAACTAAAAAAACAAAAAACTTATTGGCGGAAGTTTTTTTTTGCTAAAAACTTTACTTATCATTACATTTTTTCCCATAAATTCAATGATATATTTTGAAGGAAAACATACAAGTTAGGGCCTTTATCATCTTTCAATAAAGTCTCCTTTTCCAAAATTTTTCATGACCTGGACAGTCCAGGCTGGACTTATAGACTATGTCAAAATTTGAGGATATTTGATGACAGAAACATTATATATAATATACACACACACTACTGCCTCACCAACAAAATAAAAAAGATAATGTAAAAGAAATCATGAAAAATGGATCTTCATCTCACCATTCCTTTACCGTTGGAACCCAGGGACAGTACAGAAGAAGTTGGGCTTGTTTTCCCAAACTTACAAAAAACAAAAAACAAAAAAAGCAAGAAACAAAAAAAACTTTGTCAATCTCTTTGATTTAATTAATGTATAGATTATTACACACGTGCGAAATATTTACGTGCCATGAGTATATACACGAATGTAGCAACTAAAGTAACCAATTATTAAAGTTGACAAAGAAAAAAAGTAACTAATTATTGAATAACCTTGGGTGAGGATTTTGTGTGTGATGATTTTCCAGTACACATGTTTAAGAGAAGAGATTTAAAGTTTATAAAAGTGGTTGTGAAGAACAATGTTTTAAGAAAATATAACTAAACAAAAACCCAAACGCCTTTACAAACTCTATTTTTCTTTAGTCACAACTTATGATGAACTCTAATTTAAAAAGAAGTAGAATAAAAATATTACTTGATGAGTGAAGGAGATAAGAGATTAAGTGATCAATTTATAGAGATCGAAGAATGACGAAGGAAAATCACAAACAAGTTTGGGCATTAGTAGCTGTCCTAAGTGGCGTCTGTTGCTGCATCAGCAACAAGCTTTAATTAGGGGTTTATTCATGATTTTCTTTGCTATTTCAAAAGAATAATGTTTTATAATGAATATAATTATCTCAGTATAATTCTACTTGGGAGGAGTGATTTACGTCTTATATTTGGTATTCTGGCTCCAGAGAATATTATGCCAAAGGTCCAAGACTTCCAGCTTTACCCCAAATAAAAAGTATATATATATATTTCTTCAGTTAGGTTTAAGTGGCTTCTCAAATCATTCAAAGTTTAATATTAGTAACGTACAATCATAAAGTAATTCGTATTAGAGAAAACAAAGAATGAAAAACTGAAGAAAAGTTACAAAATAATTAGGTGTTTTTGGTAGTGGTGAATTTACGTCCATTTAGAACCACCATCCATGAAACCGGAACTTATCCGTGGGTATAAATAACGCCGCTCTCTTAATTATTATGTACCACCATAGAGCTAGCAACTTACATCGATTGTACGTGTAAATTCTAACTAATAACACTCAAAGCACTTGGATACTAATACTTTAAACCGGTCAATAAGAGAGAGAGGAACTCTAAGTGAATCATATAATTGTTATTGTATATAAACCAAGTTGTCTTGGTGCAGTGGTAATTCCAAATGAGAGATTCTTGGTTCGAGTTTATTTGGTCATCTAGCTGCGTTTTAAATTTAAAATATTTCCAAACGCATACACAAATGTAAAGCGTTGTGGGATTAGTCTTTGAACCTAAACAGATTTTGGGATGCCCACGATTAAAAAAAAAATTGTTATTATATAAACAAAAGTGCAGCTATGCTTATACCCAATAGCCGGGAATATTATTATAATTGATGGAATCTGAGATTCTCAATACACACTTCTAAGCTACTAATAGGCTCATATTTTTGTCCTTAACAAAAACATAAATTGCTTTTTTTTTATATCTGTATAGATATACATACATATTTCTCGATTTCATATTGATAAGCAATTAAAAAATCTAGAGAGTGTTAAGTTGATAATGTTGTCCGACAAAAAAAACAAATGGGTAGAGCTCTCATGCACCAAACTTTCTGATTAAACTTCCCACTCATGCATCTTTGTAATATACCTAGCGTCATTCATGTTCCTTCACATCTCATCTCTGGGATTTATAAGTATTTCTATTATTTTTATCATACTTTGTTAATCGTTAATTAGCTTCTCGTTGTTATAAGACGTTTTATATTGTTTTCCCTGAATTAACTTGATATCTCGATGACCACTCTAGATGGGAGGAGAACAAGTTAGGTTTTTGGTCCTTTGGATATATAGAACAATATTACTAAAATAGTGTACAACCTGAATACTTAAATACTCATCGCGACTAAAGTCTAATTTGTGTACCTCTTTTTTAAAGTTTTGAACTGTTTAAATTCATTTATATTATTATATATGTTGACAAAAAAATCAGAACAACAATTGCTGCAAGAAATTGTGATGATGTAAAGCCACAGAAGCTGATCGTTATTTTATGAAACTTTCATTTTCGCCTAACGTCTTTAAACACCACAAAAAATAACAGGGAAATATGCTTTATAAATGAAACCACAAGCTTCGAATTAAAGCTATCTTTGTAAACCATAAACGCAGTCTATCTGAGTTTGGATTTTTTTTGTTTACAATTGACAACGAAATCAACAAAAAAAAGATGAAGTTTTATAAAAATATATTATTTTATTAATATATGTAAACGAATACGTACAAATTTTCGGTCTGAAACAGTCGAGGCTACATTACTTTCTGAACTGAAATATTAGTCCTGCTAATTATAGTTTTGTGATTTCTTTTAAGTTTTCTCATGGCGCTTAGAATTTATAAATATTCTGACAATATTTTAATATCTAAATGGATACATAAATAACGTTCACATAAAAAACAACCATCGCCTACATCATAAAAATCAAACTAAATTCTACTCTATTTACAAAAACTATATGTGATGCTTAGTGATTTAAAATCTGATAAAGACTGTTATGGGACCTTTCTTGAGCAAGCAGATGAATGTAATGGGCTGAAGACACGGTATGATATTTTATCATGTTTAGGAAAAGTTATTTTTACTAATCCTATTGGAACAAATTTTTGGCACATTATAAATATAGACCTTGATCAGGGTTTGTATTATTTATATACAGAATAATAAATAAATTCTCTAAAATTTTCGGTTAGTTTCGAATCGCTAATTAAAATTTCTAATAATATATGAATGTGGTATATTATATTACCACGAAAGAAAAATAGAAAGAAATAGTTTTAGCTTTGTACACTTTGGAGTCACGTTTCTTTAAGGGATTCGTGGCCCTTCTTTTACAAATAAAAAGTTTCAAAATTTTAACCAAGAGGTTGTTAGCCTAACAAACCTCAATCTTAAATGTTTCTTGGTGAGTCATCATCTATTTCAGAGAAAGTGGTCGACAAAACTGTTTATGGTTTTGTCTTATTATATTATATTGCTATTTTTCTTAATCATAATTAAGCGCGGGATAATGTTTTGAAAATCTATGTGAGAATAGTGCAAAAGGTTAAGAGGAATGTCATACTGTTAAGTTAGGTCGTTGATTGGAAACAGAACCTAACTCATGCAAATCTTGAATCTCAAGTCTTTTGTGTGTGTGTTTTGTTCTTTTATTTTTCGCGGGCATGGCAACACCAACATGCATGATTAGGGTTTAGTGACAAATTGACTACGTAACATCTATGAAAGATATGTGGGTGAGATTGACTTATAGTAATATTATATGTGTAGCATATATAATCATGTCATTATTCAATATTATGATGTGCTTGAGCTTATCTCTATTCCATATTATATATGATTTTCGAATAAAATGACATTAACGTGTTTATTAGTCGGGGTCAGATATATTAGTGATGCATACTTTATTTATTCACTGGATAAATTTCGATTGTAAATCTTGAAGATTATTTTCCCTGAATATCAAAGTAAACTTTGAATTTATAAAAACATGATAATGGTTATTGGAGTTCTAGCTCAATGTCTCTAATTTCAGCATTACCATTATTTTTTAAGATATATATCTATGACACAATCACTCCAATACAATCATATTCGTATGTAATGGGATATATAAACTAACTGGAGGTAAGATATCTTAACTAATTGGAGGTTGGGTACCCTTTGTCATGTCTGGCGATCGAATGGCCATAACTTTAACTAATTAAACAAAGATAATTGGATTAACGTTTTACTACGTCCGACCAATTCTTGATTTTGAGCTGTCTTAAATTTGAAGCAGAATGTTGAAAAAAATCCACTAAAAATGGCGTATATAGCGACGGAATTTTTCTGTGACTAACGAACATAATCCGTTCCCATTTTGAATTTAGCCAAAAATTGTTATGAAAAAAGTTTGTGACTATATATCTAAATCTTACTAACATCCAGTCCGTAGTAATAAGTAGCTAAGAAATTTGGCTATTTGTCATGGTATCTTCCATAAATAGCGTAGCTAATCTGTTAAGATAAAACCACACTATTTTGTGGTTATAAAATCCTGCTAATCATCTGTTAAAAGTCTTGATTACCTCCTAGTTATATATATATATATATATATATATTGTAGGTGGGCTGAGCACAGCCTCTTTTTTGTAATTTCGTTCGGGCCCATTAGCGAAATGAAAGCCCAATAAGATCGAAGATCAACAAGCCCATGCGCGAAGATTAAAACGAGGTCGTTCGAGGAGACGACCTTTTCATATCAAAGGAACAGCTCGCCACCACGACACGGATGGGACATCTCGCCACCTCGACATGGATGGGACAGCTCGCCACGTCGACGTAGATGAAACAGCTCGCCAGCACGACGTTTTAATAGACGGTCGGTCATGTCTATCTACCCGGCCGTCCAAGCTAGTCTGACCGAGATGTAACATAATCTCAACACTATAAATAGCCCTGTAACTTCATTTATTACGGGATCCGTAATTGAAATAAAGACTAAAACACTCTATACTTAAATCTTCAACTCTTACCTCGCTTACTTGACCTCGTATTATCACCTCGAAAACATCATATCGATCTCACCTCTATTCAAACAAGAATCTCCGAGCTCCACCTAGATACATTTACCAAAGTGACCTCGTGTGCGGATACAATACAACAATTGGCGCCCACCGTGGGGCTAAGAGATTTCTTTCTACGCAAAGAGGAGCTCGATAATGTCAGGAATTCAGGTCAACGAAACAACTAACCTACCCATCTCAACTACTGCCGAGGAGGGACTTCTCGTGTCACCAGTTAACAATCCGGAGACCTCGAATAGGCGGACACCAACGATGAATCCCGTGGAAAACGCAACTTCACACCCAAAAGCGCAAGATGCGAATCGAAGCACACCAGCTCCAACCGACGTCGCAACGTTATTCGCAACAATGATGGCTCGAATGGAAGAGCTGAATCATCAGACAAGCGCTCGCCTGAACGAGCTCGCCGCGGCACAACTTTCTTGCCAAGATCAAGTCAACATATTGCATTCATCAGAGACCCAAGCCCCAGAGAGACGAGCCCAAGAAATTCAGTGCGTACAGCGCGCCTTATTCGGAGACTCACCCGCACCACCAACAACAGAAAATCATCCAACCTCGAACTGCGACGAGGTGAACATCGGGGCTCCCGAACACGAAACACGTCGGCTTCAGATAAGGAACTCGCAGCAAGACGAAGAAATGCTCGAAATGAGAGCCAAATTGCGAGCCATGACTTCGCTTGTCCATCAAGCAACTAGCTCGGCACCTGAGATCGACCGTGTGTTGAAAGAAAGCCAAAGCACACCGTTCACGACCCGAATTACCGACTTCCCGATCAGAACTCAAGTGAAGTTCAATCTCCCGACGTATACAGGCAACTCGGACCCAAGCCAATTCATGACCGCGTTCAGCATTCAAATGGGCCGAGCACGATTCACCCCCGAGGAGAAAGATGCAGGCTTCTGCCAACTATTCGTTGAAAACCTCAGCGGTGCGGCCCTCGTTTGGTTCTCCAAGTTAAAAGTGAACTCGATTGACAGCTACCAAGCATTGTCGACCGCATTCCTCAAGAGGTACATGATATATATCCAAGGTGCAGTTTCCAGTGCCGACCTCTACCAGATCAAACAAGGCGAAAAAAAATCCCTTCGATCTTTCATCGGCAGGTTCAATGCGATCGTTTCTCGGATCACCGTGACTGACGAGGCATCGCTGCCAGCTCTTTGGAATGCCCTGCGAATCGATTCGAAGTTTCGGGACAGCCTCAAGTTCAGCAAACCCCGAACTCTCGAAGACGCGCTTCACCGTGCCACCTTATACATCGAGGACGAAGAAGAAAAAGAGATCGCGTCGCCAGCAAAAGCGACACCGAAGCAGCAACCTCACAAAGAAATCCCCAAACAAGATTATCAGGAGCCTCGACAACATCTCGACAATAACTATCGAGGTGACAATCGCCGAGGAGCGACGTACAACATCAGTACTCAACAACAACAAAACCGCCAGTATCAAAACCAATCGAACACCTGGCAACGAGGAGATCGCGGGAAGACACGACCTTTCTGCGACTATCACAACAAGTACGGTCACCCGACTGCGATGTGTCGCGAACTACATGCCTACTTGCTCGCCAAATATCGGAAGGGGGAGATCGCATTAGCGAACCAGCCCCAAAATACCGCCTCGCGAAATAACGAAGCTCGACCAGCGGCTTCCACCGAGCAACTTCCACCTCCCCCCCCCAACAAACGAACAATCCAACGACGATCTCGCAAAGAGAGATCGAGGTAACCAACCTCGAGGTGACACTCCCCCAGCATCTCGAAAGAAAGTGTTCTTTATCATGGGAGGCTTATCGACGTGCAACGATTCCGTCAGGTCGATAAAAAAGTACGGCCGCCAGGTCATGCTCGCACAAAAATGGCAAGTTAAAAGCCCCAAGACCGCCGATAGCGACGCGATCACATTCACCGAGGCCGACACGGAAGGAGTTGATATGCCGCACAACGATCCGCTTGTGGTCGAGCTGCGGATCGCAGATTGCGAAGTATCTCGGATACTGGTTGATACAGGGAGCTTGGTCGACCTGATTTTCAAAGAGATGCTTGACAAAATGGAACTGGCGAACCATCACCTCAAGTCTTCGGTTAAGCCACTCACAGGATTCGATGGAGATACGGTCTACTCGATTGGGACGATCAGAATCCCGGTTTACGCGGCAAAGACGACCCGCCTTTTCAAATTTGTTGTCGTCGATAAACCTGCCATCTATAACGTAATTCTGGGAACGCCTTGGCTGCAATCCATGAAAGCGGTGCCGTCGACCTATCATCAATGCCTCAAGTTCCCAACCGCGTTCGGGGTAAAAATTATCCGAGGCTCTCAGGAGATATCGAGACTCTGCTTCGCCGCAGAGCACAAGCTCCGATTCAAATCCACGATTCCAGCCAAGGCGTGTCTTACGATTTTACCCGTAACTCAAGTCGATTTGCCAACTCAAGAAAGACCGAAGCAGGAGCTCGTCGTCCAAGTAAACATCGACGAAAGCGACCCCGAACGATGCGTAGGAATCGGAGCCGATCTAAAGGAGGAGATCAAAGTTGAGCTCGTACGACTTCTTCGCCGAAACGCATCGACATTCGCCTGGTCAGTAAGCGATATGCCAGGGATCGATCCCTCAATTACAAGTCATGAGCTTAACATCGATCCTACGTTTTAACCGATCAAGCAGAAGCGGAGGAAGTTAGGTCCAGAAAAGGCGCAGGCCGTCAATGACGAGGTCGAACGTTTGTCGAAGGCTGGATCGATCATCGAGGTCAAATATCCAGAATGGTTGGCAAACCCCGTTGTCGTCAAAAAGAAGAACAGCAAATGGCGAATCTGCGTAGACTTCACCGACCTCAATAAAGCATGCCCCAAGGATAGTTTCCCCTTGCCGCACATCGATCGAATCGTCGAGGCGACTGCAGGCAACGAGCTCCTGTCATTCATGGACGCCTTCTCCGGGTACAATCAGATCACGATGCATCCCGAGGATCGTGAGAAGACGTCCTTCATCACCGATCGAGGAACCTATTGCTATAAGGTAATGCCGTTCGGCTTAAAGATTGCGGGCGCTACGTACCAACGACTAGTCAACCACATGTTCGCCAATCAATTGGGACGAACGATGGAGGTTTACATCGACGATATGCTAGTAAAGTCGCTCACCGCCGGTGATCACATCGGCCATCTGCAAGCTTGCTTCACCATTCTAAATAAATACCAGATGAAGCTCAATCCGACTAAGTGTACCTTCGGGGTAACTTCCGTAGAATTCCTCGGCTACATCGTCACTAAACGAGGAATCGAGGCAAATCCGAAGCAGATCGATGCCCTAATCAATCTCCCATCACCTCGCAACACTCGCGAGGTCCAACGTCTTACCGGCCGAATTGCGGCCCTCAACCGATTCATCTCGCGATCCACAGATAAGTGTCTTCCGTTCTATCAACTTCTCCGAGGCAACAAACGTTTCGAGTGGGATAGTAAATGTGAGGAAGCTTTCCAACAGCTCAATGAGTACCTCGCCAGCCCTCCCATTTTAGCCAAACCTGAAACGGGCGAAACCCTCTATCTCTATATCGCTGTGTCGAGCTCGGCAGTAAGCGGCGTCCTAGTCAAGGAAGATCGAGGCGAGCAGAAACCGATTTTCTACGTTAGTAAAACTCTGGACGACGCAGAAAAATGGTATCCGACTTTGGAGAAACTCGCGCTCGCGGTCATCATGTCTGCCAGAAAGCTACGACCCTACTTTCAATCCCATTCGGTCGTCGTCTTGACCAATCAACCACTTCGAACGATACTGCACAGCCCGAGCCAGTCAGGTCGCATGGCGAAGTGGGCTGTCGAGCTGACGGAGTATGATATTGAATATCGTAATAAGACGAGTGCCAAATCGCAGGTCCTCGCAGATTTTCTGGTAGAGCTTCCGCCAGAGCTAATCCAGACCGACCTACCTGACGAGAAGTTGTCCTTGTACGTCGACGGATCCTTCTCGTCCCGAGGCGCAGGTATCGGCATCCGCCTAGAATCTCCGACGAAAGAGATATTGGAGCAATCGTTCCGGCTCGAATTTCCAGCCTCCAATAATGAAGCAGAGTACGAGGCTTTACTCGCAGGACTACGTCTAGCGCAAGGAATCGGAGTCAAAAAAATCAAAGCTTTCTGCGACTCCCAGCTCGTTGTTAGTCAGTATAGCGGCGATTACGACACCAGAAACGACCGGATGGACTTGTATCTTAAAGCCGTCAAGAGCCTCGCTGATCGCTTCGAAATTTTCTCACTCACCAGAATTCTGAGGAGTGACAACACCTCGGCAGATGCACTAGCCGCCCTCACATCGACGTCTGAACCACATCAAAGGCGCGTAATCCCAGTTGAAAGCATCGATTTCCCCAGCATCTTCCTACCTCGAGGAGTATGCGCAGTTCGAGAACTCGAAGCGAACAGGTTGGACGCCATCGAGTTACCTCCCCCCGAGGTCGTCGACGAGCCTGCCGAACAAGAACCAACAACCGAAGACTGAAGGATCGAAATCTTGCTCTACATTACAGACGGCCAAGTCCCACCCGACCGATGGGCAGCGAGGCGCTTAAAAGTTCGAAGCGCTAAATACATTCAGTCACATGGCGACCTCTATCGTTGGAGCTCGACGGGCGCTCTGCTCAATTGTCTTCACGGCGAAGAGACATTCGATGTCATGCGGGAAACACATGAAGGAGCGTGTGGAAATCACTCCAACGGTCGAGCTCTTGCTCTAAAAATCAAGAATCACGGCCACTTCTGGCCGACAATGCTTACCGATTGCGATCGAGTCGTAGCTCGCTGCGAGCAATGCTAACGACATGCGCCAATGATTCACGCACCAGCCGAACTTCTGGCTGTTTCCTCGCCACCTTATCCCTTCATGCGATGGGCGATGGACATCGTAGGTCCACTCCCTCGATCTCGACAGAAACGATTCATACTTATCATCACCGATTACTTCACGAAATGGGTTGAGGCCGAATCTTACGCCAAAATTAAGGCGACCGATGTGAAGAACTTCGTATGGAAGAACATCATCTGCCGCCACGGATTACCTTACGAGATCGTCACCGATAATGGCCCCCAATTTATCTCCGATGTCTTCGAGGATTTCTGCGCCAAATGGAGAATACGACTTAGCAAGTCTACACCGCGATATCCACAAGGAAACGGCCAGGCCGAGGCAACCAACAAAACCATCCTCGACGGCATCAGAAAACGACTCGAAGATAAGAAAGGCTTATGGGCGGACGAACTGGACGGAGTCCTATGGTCACATCGAACTACACCGCGCAGATCGACGAATAAAACCCCTTTCTCATTGTCTCACGGCATGGAAGCCTTAGCCCCCGCCGAGGTCGGCCTACCAACCATACGCAGAACGATGTTGACACAAGACGATAAAAAGAACGGAAGAATGATGAAGGATAGCCTCGACATGCTCGAGGAGGAGCGAGATCGCGCCCTGTTACGTATGCAAAATTATCAGCAGCAAATCTCACGATACTACAACAAACGCGTGAAAGGAAGGCACTTCAAAGCCGGCGACCTCGTTCTTCGAAAGGTGTTCGAGAATACCGAAGAATACCGCGCCGGAAAACTAGGCGCAAAGTGGGAAGGCCCCTACCAAATCACCAACGTTGTAAAACCTGGCATTTACGAGTTGATGACGATGGACGGCGAAATGATACCTCGATCTTGGAACTCGATGAACATCAAGCGGTACTACTAAAAAAAAAAAAAAAAAAAAAAAAAAAAAGACGCTCACCGAGCTATACTCGGTCGAGCTATATCTCGAATGTGAACTACGATCGGCTTGATCCCAGTTTGTTGGGTACGTAGGCAACCTCTTACGAGGTACAGCTGTTAATAAAATTTTATTTATACAAACTTTTACTTCGACATCTTTCACTTCGACATCTTTCACTTCGACGTATTTCACATCGACATCCTAGCTAGATGTTCGATCCTCTAATACGCATTTCTCTACAATGCAAACTCTTAATCAATCCTAAGGAACAAAAACCTTACGATTGTGAGAGAATAAGCCGGGACCAGTCCCGCATCCTTTCTTAAATCACCCGAATAACTACGTCGAGATCATTCTCACTATTCGGACACGATTAATGAAATAAAACAGGGTAAGCCGAGTCATACCTCGCACCTATTGTCCCCTTAAGCCGAGTATCACCTCACACCTATTTTTCCCTTAAGCCGAGTTTTACCTCGCACCTATTATTTTACTAAGTTTTATCTCGCATCTCATACCTCGCATCCATTATTTTCTTAGGTCAAGTCTCGCGCCTATCACTCGTAAGTATTGTTCCAATAAGTAAGTTCTCACTTCGTTCCAATCTTTTTGAACCAATTTTCACCTCGTATCAAGTATATCATCTCGAATCTATCACCTCGTTTTGTTTTTCTTAAGTATACCTCGTATTTATTTTCTCTTTATAATTCAAATCGCGAGCTGATACTTTGAAAAAAGAGCATTCATTAATAAAGATAGGTCGGGTCATTACAAACGAGGCAAAAAAAAAAAAAAAGAAAAAAGGAGGCAAGTACAGATAAGAAAAAAGGCGAATAGGATCTATTCTTCGGGCTCATTGCCGCCCTCGTCGTTCTCTTCATCCTCAGCATTATCTCGATCCGAACCGCCATCCGAAGTTTCAGGGTAAGGCGGAGGCAAGTCACCTTCTTCGAGATCTGTGAAGCTGAGGTTATCAAGCTTCTGTTCGCAATCGCGCTTCGAGAATTCCAGCTCGGCTCTCAACTCTGCTTCAGACATCTCTTGCTCCTTCAAGAAATCAAGGCATTCCAGCGTACCTCGAGCCTGAACTAGATCGAGCTTAACCTTCTCGATCGCCTCTTGTTGAGCAACCCGAATCCTCAACCGATCGATGCGACCTGAATACTTTGCCTCAGCATCCGCCCAAATTCGGGTCGTCTCCGCCTCGATCCTCTCATCAGCCTGTCGCTGTGCCCGCACGACCTCGGTGGCGATCGACTTCTCGACCTGAATCTTAGCCTCATTAACAATTTGAAGATTGTTGACTAAGTCCAGATTCTCCTGCTTCATCGCCTCGATCTTGTCTGTCAGCTCCTTCACCCCGACATCGAGCTGCTCCGCCTTTCTTTTCATCGTTTGCCAGTTATCCTCGGCAACCCTCTGCTGCTCGATAGCGGTGTCACGTTCCTTCACCGCTTTTTTCCCAGCAGCCTGGGCATCCTTCAGCCGAGCTGCACCATTCCGGAGCCAGCGCATGTATTGTCCCCTCGCGCGATTACAGCTCGCAATGAACTGAAAATAAAGGTAAAAGAATATCAGTCGAGCTCACAGATGATTAAAGCGTAAAGAGAAGACTCCAAACATACCTTGAAGGCGAAGCTCGCCATATCCTTGAAAGCCCCATCAGTACCGGGAGGGACCTCGGAAGTGGAGCCTCTTATCATCTCGAATAGCTCAGCACATTTGTCGACGTTGTTGACAAACGGTTCACTCGACTCGGGGTATTCGAACTTGAAGCTCCAGTCGATCCCCTTGGCTTTGTCGTCGCCAGCTGGATCAACCCTAGGCCGTTTGCTCGCAGCCTCCGCTCCAACTTGACCGCCATCGTCACCGTCCCCGGAAGATTTCTTCTTTTTACCTTTCGCCTTAGCCTCGACGACCTTCTTCTTCTCGGCGAGGCGAGCAGCCTCAGCTTCTTCCTTCCTTTTCTTCTCCTCGCGCTTTCTCTTCTTCTGTTTCTTCTCCTCGCGCCTCGCCGACTGCGTGGCTTCGTCAGCTCCATCGTCTACTTGCCGAGTAGACACTTGGTCTTCGGCACTCTGAGCCTCGACCCCACCTTCTGCTGCAGTCTCGAGATTTACTTCGGGTTGAGGAACGACCTCGACCTCTTCTTGGGCTGGCACTGGATCTGTGCGCGCAGGCCGAGCTGCAGAAGGACCTCGATCCTTACTCCCGCTCTTCTTTGCCTTCAAGCGTGCAGCGAGACTGGGCGCGTTGACTTGAATTGGAGCCATTGCAGTAGCTCTTTCTAGCAGGTTACTCTCCCTCCTCCAACTAGCTGAAACAGAAAAAGTAAACGTTTAAGGCGATGTCGATTACGGAAGAAGCGTCAAAAATATCGAGCTTACCGTTCGTGATACGAGTGATGGCAGCTTCGACTCTTCGACGATGTATATCGGGCCAATGTTGTATCCCAACAGCCCTGATCTTCTGAAGATTCTCGTGATAGTTCTCCGGGAACGCTTCGAGCTGAACGTTTCGATCTGCGAAAGATAAAGAAACATCAGTAAAAGACAAGGGGAGACTCGAAGTATGACCAAACTAATAATCTACCGATGCTCCTGCTCCACTCGCTTCTAAAATCCCTGGTCGTGTCGACAACCAATGCCTCATCCACCTTCGCGTAAAAGAACGACGCCTCCCAGCTCGGTGTTCTGTTGACAGGATAAACCAGGGAACAATCCTTCCTGGCTTTTATGGTGTACGTGCCCGGGATCGAGTTGTTCTTTTGGACGTTGGTCATCTCCTCGAAGAAACGCAAATCGACGTCGACTCCAGCCTCGCTCCCGAATAGCAGAGCTGCGACCATAAATCGAATTCCCGCAGGGAGAATTTGCGAGAAAGCAATACCCCTCCGGTGGACGTAGTCCGTCAACAACCTCGGAAGGGGGAACCAGAGATGACAAAGACTGAACCACGCCTCGTAAAGCATGACCCAGCTCTCTGGAGCTAGCCATGGTCGATCTTCGGGTCCCGGCGCCATCAACTCGCCTCGAAAACCATATCGCGATCTAAAGTCTTCCAGGCGCTGAACCGTCATCTGTGACGGAATATTTTCCAAGCGATTCTTGATAGCCCCCTTGCGCTTGGAACCTTTTCGTCGAGGTCTAGCTTCCTCGTCTTGTTCCTCTTCCCCGCCCTGACCGTCTTCTTCTTCACCCCCTTCGTCGACCTCTTCCTCGACATGCTCAACAGCCCTCCCATCACGACCATCTTCCTCAAAAGGAACTATTTGAAGAGACGTCGCAATTTCACCTCGCGGAGACGCCCCATCAGAACGAACTCGATCCGCCAATTCAACCAATGAAGACTCACTTCGATCCGATTGGGTATCGGACCTCGAAGATACCTCAGGAGAGGAGCTAGAACTCCCAGAGGCTTCTTGTTCAGACCTAGAGCCAGACTCTAAGCTAGACTCGATGCGCTGACCCCCCGAAGACATTATTCGATGTCGGACAAGATGAAAATAAAACAGCGAAAGGACGAATTCTAGAGAGAGAAAGGAATTCTAGAGAGAAGGGAGAGCGAGATTACCTTTTGTGCACGGAGAAGAAAATGAGAAGAAGACAAGGAGAGCGGAATATATAAGGAAGAAAAAACAGCAGTTACCGAGGAAAGTAATCATGATGCGGACGCTTCCCAGTACTTTATTTAGTGGCAGATTTCACGCGCGTCCCGAAAATCACGTTTCCACTCGCGACTCTTCGTTGCTTTTTGCGACTCATCGCTTCCCAAGAATCACGCTTCCACTCGCGACTCTTCGCTGCCTAAGACGACCGTTGGCTATTTGCGACTCTTCATTCCCTCTAAGTATCACCTCGACTCCGAAGATTCCACCTCGATATCGAGGTCCAACGAAATGAAAGTTCTCCAGCTCGATGCATTGAATATCGAAGTAACATCTCCATCAACGGACTGGGGGGACAATTGTTGTAGGTGGGCTGAGCACAGCCCCCTTTTGTAATTTCGTTCGGGCCCATTAGCGAAATGAAAGCCCAGTAAGATCGAAGATCAACAAGCCCATGCGCGAAGATTAAAACGAGGTCGTTCGGGGAGACGACCTTTTCATATCAAAGGAACAGCTCGCCACCACGACACGGATGGGACATCTCGCCACCTCGACATGGATGAGACAGCTCGCCACGTCGACATAGATGAAACAGCTCGCCAGCACGACGTTTTAATAGACGGTCGGTCAGGTCTATCTACCCGGCCGCCCAAGCTAGTCTGACCGAGATGTAACCTAATCTCAACACTATAAATAGCCATGTAACTTCATTTATTACGGGATCCGTAATCTGAAATAAAGACTAAAACACTCTATACTTAAATCTTCAACTCTTACCTCGTTTACTTGACCTCGTATTATCACCTCGAAAACATCATATCGATCTCACCTCTATTCAAACAAGAATTTCCGAGCTCCACCTAGATATATTTACCAAAGTGACCTCGTACGCGGATACAATACAACAATATATATAATAATACGGTTGGCCACTTACAATCCTTGGCTCATCAGCCACTGATAATATGTTGCGTTATTGCTACGGTTTATCCATAGCCGAGTTACTGTGGCCATGGATATATTGCCCAGTGGCCACCGTATTTCATTACACACAAACTCATTTATCTGACTCTCTTATCTGGGTCGAAGCAAGCTACAGTAATGGCATCTTGGCATCTATGGCCTTGTCTTCATGATTGGGTCGCTCTCGTTTCTCCTCCAAAACTGTTGACCAACATGACACTACAAGAAAACATATGTATTTCCGACAAAAAATGTGATCAGAAAAATTCCAACGAGTTTCCAATGAATTTCCGATGAGCGTAGAAAAGTTTTAGAATTTCCTTGGAAATTTTCGACGAAAATAATTTTCTCAGATAAGAAATTTTCTCTGAATCCTAGGTTCCTCCGTTGAGAGAGGAGAAGCTTGGTTCCATGGACCCACGTGAAAACGCGATACATCGCATTCTTGGAATTTTTCAACAAAACATTTTTTCAGAAATTTGCCGGAATTCTCACAGAATATAATCGGAATTTTCCGATGGAAAGGTTTCTAAGATATTTGTCGCAAAATTTGTAGAAAAATTTTCGTATTTTTTAGCAACGAAGATACTTTCAAGGAAATCATCCAAAATTTTACTATTAAAAAAACCTATGTAATATGGAAAATTAATTTGTAAAGGTCGTTGGAATTTTGTAGGAAACAGATAGTTATATATTTATATTTTTTTTTCATCAGAAATTTGTCGGAAAAGCCTGCTGACATTTCTGGTTGAGTTTATCAAAAAGTTCTCGAAATAGTTCTGATGATTTTCCAATAAAATATTATTAAAACTAGTGTATCCGACAAGATTCCAACGAGCTTAACAAAGTTCTCAGAATTTTCTCGGAAATGGTCGATCACCCGTTCTGACAAAATTCCGACAATTTTCTGAATTTTGTAGGAAATTTCTTGGAAACTGTTAAATGCTTCCGACAAATTTTTGATAACATGTGAAGTCACATCACTTACGATTTCTGAAAAAATTCCGACAACATCATCGGAAAACTTCTAGAAAATCAATTTTTGCCTATAAAACTGTGTAACTTTCCCTCCTCCACTCTCACAAGTTTTGCCATAACAATCTCACAACTCTTTCTTTGTTACTCTCAAACTCTACTAAGAATCAGTTTTTGAGGAAAGTATGTTTTTCTTATAATTATTAGATTATAAATTATTAGATGTGCTTTTGTTTTAGTTGTTGTTTTTTACTTTTTGAAATTAAAATAAAATTGTACCATTAGAATAGCTGTTAACTCAAAATTTTTTTGGAATTCTAAATTGTTATAGAATTAAAAATGTAAATTTGATGATTAATCTTTTAATGGTAGTTAATTGAAAATTATTAAAAAATATTTTTTTTAATGTTTTTTTTTTAATTCTCCTCGGAAATTTCTCAGAATATAATATTTTAATAATATTTTGTCAGCAAAATTTCGGTGACTTTCCGGTTGATTTTGTCGAAAAGTTCTCGGAATTTTTTCGAGGAATTTTTGATTAATATATTATTTTCTCAGAAATTCATCGGGAATTTCCGAGAAATTTCCAACCACCGTTTATGATGACTTACCGAGAAACGACTTTTTCAGATATGTTTCGACAAAATTTCGACAAAATTTCAACAAAATTTCATTTCTGAGGTTCATATTCTGACCAATTTTTTTTTGTTGGAAAACCATCGAAAGTACGTGTTTCCGATGACTTTCCAACGAAAAACTTGATCGGAAATTTACAGGTTTTCTTGGTCGAGTATTACTTGTTATGTTCAATCTTAAATATGTTACATGGACTTTTTCATTCCATCAGGTTATCGACCCATGTAAAAGATTTTTTTCAATTATTATTATGATTATATATTTATTTGTATATATATATATATATTGAAAAAATTAATTAGGTTATTTACAATTTCTGAAGTGGAATCTAAAGCCAACTAGTACAACGGAGAAACAAATCAAGCCTTAACTATTGCTAGTTTCGAATGGAGTACTAATGGTTTAGAAGGTCCTCGTACTTTTGGTGATCTCCGTGAAATGGAGCGAGATAATGTGATCATGAACCACTTTGTCAATGACACCAAAGTAGCTGGTGCGGTGACCATTTCATTCTCTCTAAACATGGTCTATCGTGGCTTGGAAGACCATACAAATGAGTACCTTGTCAAGAAGCCGAAGCTGTTGAGATCTCATATAATGCAGCGTTTCTATTCAATCTGTAGTAACCTTAGGGCCAAGCAAATGATGGATATGGACAAAAATAGAACCAATAGCTAACTAGTCTCATCAGGTTTACCAAAAAGGATGTAAGCTTGAGAGGTTGTTCTCATTGACGGATATGAGAACCAATAGCTAACAAGCTAAGCGATCCTTAAGGAACTTAACCACAGGCCAAAAAATAAACGAGGAACAAGGAACTGCTTTAGCGTACCACATGTTCTGAACTAGGGTGCCTTATCATTTGGTTCGAATCTGGTCCCAAGTGTGACGTGCCAAGAAAGAAAGCTTGCAAACATCGGGGGATTGGCACCAAATGGATATCAATCAGGACCTCGAAAGTTTCCATCGCCCGGAGTTAAGGGTGACAATATCTCTAAAAATGAACCAAACATCTGAATACCAAGGTTACGAGGAAAAGCATCACCCGCAAAGCTATAAATCCGGCCAATATTTCATGCATTCACCATTTCATTTCATGCAGCTTGATCGTGAGGCTTAACGAGTTTTCTCCAAATCCAAGAATTTAGAGATCTATGACGGACATCCTAAAAAGAGTGTTGCTTCGGAGATATTGCGGCGTCCAAGAAACCAAAAGGAATCTTGATTTCTCAAAGTGTAACGAAACCGTAAACCATTCTTTCGAATAACCAACTTCATCCCATGATACTTTTTTCTTTGTTATGGTTGTCGAAGATTCCAGCCATAATTAAGAAAGATATAAAAAGATATTCAATCTCATTTAAACAGCGTTTGACGAGGCGAAAACAGAGAACCAAAATGTAAAGATATTCAGAATCACTATTCTTTCTTTATAAATTGATTAAAATTATATATTATCCAATGACATTCTTTGTAGTGTTAAACGCTTTTAAAGTAATTTTTAAAATGTGCTTCTTATTTAATAGTATATAATTTTAAAATTTTAATTAAAATTTTTTATTCATCTATATTTAAATCGGATAATTCAAGTATTTAAGCGACGAGAATAATTATTAGGAGAGTAAACGTCTAGAGCTTTGGAGGTATTCTCATGGAGCTAATAACCTGCCAGAAAGCTAAAAACGAGAAGGGATTTGAAGATTTATTGACCAAACACTACAAGAATGCAGGCCAAAAACCTACGGCAAATATCATTGTTAAAGCGTAGGAAACAGTCTTTTCTTACCCAATACCTACGAAAGTAAGTTATAGGAAATCGGCCGTCGGAAATTTTAATTGGTAGGAAAGTCGTCGGAAATTTCCTACGAAAAAGTCCGTAGGAAATTTACTACGGACAGTTTGGTAGGACTTTTGTCAGAAACTTTTGACCAAATTCCTACTAATATCCTGCGATTAGTTTTTCCTACGATATTTTACCTTTTTATTTCCTACGAATTATTTTCACCATTTAATAATAAAAATATTAGTTAAATTAATTCGGAAAATTATTTTAAAATTAACTAATTAATATTAATTTTAAATTTTAAATTTATTTAAAAATAATATTATATTAAAAATCCCAAACTGGGAATAAAATTGGTTTACAAAAATATTAAACCAGAAAAAACTTAAACCAAACCAACTAACTTAAACCAAACCAACTAAAAAACCGATTTTCAGAAAAAACATAATGGCTGAAAAGCCATAAATGAGAAAACAAAAATCTACCCTGCCACATTTGAGTCTGTGTGCCATAAGGGACGTAATATTTCGAAAAGACCCTTAATAAAAAGGGGAGATGGCATTCTTGATTTTTCTATTTTTTTTTTTGAAAATCGAGAAAATTTGAGAAATTAGAATTCTGAAATTCTAATTTTCCGTTTAAAAAAAATTTGCCGTTCAAAAAAAAAAAGAATTCTGAAATTCTAATACCAAAACCGATCTGGTTTTTCTCAATTTCTGGGTTAAGCACCTGAACCAAAACCCGAAATCGAAAATCTTCCCAGAAATCGCCCGATTGATCTGCTCGAATCTCGAATCCGTCTTCGTTTATTATCGCTCGGCGCGGTTCGCCGGCCTTCTCTGAATCCGTGGTGTTCGCCAATTCTTGTTTCTCTGCCGTCATTTCGTAATTAGGTATACTTCTTCTACAGTTTGGGGATTATGGTTTAGTAATCGATTTGTCAATTCCGGTCGTTTTAGGTTGCACATTGGCTAGTAGAGTGGCGTATATATGTCAATTTAGTCTTCTGAATGTTAAATTTAACTTGTTGCCGTTGAATCGAGCTGATCGTAAGTTTGTATAGTGAATCAGTGAGATATGGGACAACTGGTACAATTAGGTTAACTGAATGGAAAGGGACAACTGGTACAATTGGGTTAAGTGAATGGAAAGGGACAACTGGTACAATTGGGGTAACTGAATGTAATGGGAAAACCGGTACATTTCGGGTAACTGAATGGAATGGGACAACTGGTACAATTGGGTTAACTAAATGGAATGGGACAACTGGTACAATTGGGATAACTGAGTTGAATTGGGTTAACTGAAAGGAATGGGACAACTGGGACAATTGGGACCCGGAATGTATTGGGACAACTGGTACAATTGGGATAACTGATTGAGATATGTGGGACAACTGGTACAATTGGTACAACTGTGAGAAAATAGGAAATATTGTTATTCGTTAATGACTTTTTTTTTTTTTTTGTGAACAGAAGAGGATGAGCGGCCACACAAACATACATTTTGAGTATGGAGGATGTTATTATAAGGAAGGAGAGGAGTTTAAATGGATATCAAGAAGCCCCATCTATGCTATATCATTTAAAACCTCTTTGGATGAGGTTACATATTCGATGGTTGTAGATGGTATATGCAAGAAGATTGGGGTAAACGATAAAGCTCAAGTTAAGCTACATTCCGTTGGTAGCTAAGCCACTGAATGATTCATGTATTGTTGATGATGGTGATGTGTATGTCTATCTAACAACTGTGGATAAAAAGGGACTTAGATCTGTGTTGCATGTGGAGATAATGGAAGATTTGGAAAGAGATAAGATTCAGGAGCTAGAAACAGGCGATATTATGCTTGAAATCGAGGAAGCAGGGAAAGAACAGGAAAAACTTGCTATTGTGGCTGTACCTGAGACTGAGAAACAGATAGTGATTGATGATGTTGTTTCACAACCGGATGATCATGAACATGTAGAGCCTGCAGAATATGGTATGGATGAGCATGATCACGTAGAGCCTCTTGGGGCTTTAGAACCGACTCAGTTTGTTCTTGAATGGGAAGATGGTGCTGGTTTTGAAAAGAATCAAGAATTTCGATCGAAAGAGGCGTTGCGAGTATTGGTTGAGAGAGCTTCGCATAAGGGATGTTTTGAGGTCAAAACAGTGAAGTCTGATCCTGGGCGACTCATTCTTAAATGCCGTCAAGCTGAACATGGTTGTTCATGGTATGTACATGCTGTAAGAATGAAGGATTCAACTTACTTCAGCCTTAGAGTATACAGGAAAATGCATAGTTGCTCTCGGGTCCTTACCAGCACAATTGAGAATAAAAGAAAAGGCACTCCACAAGTTGTAACAGATGTTTTGCGTGCTTCGTATCCAGGTGTAGTGGACATACCGGCTCCTAGAAGTATTGTGAAGGTTGTTTAAAATGAAGCTCATGTGAATGTGTCCTACTCTACTGCCTTGAGAGGAAAAAAACTCGCGATTAGTCAAGTGAGGGGTAGTCCGGAAGAAAGCTTTCAAAGATTGCATTCTTATCTGTATGTGTTGAAGCTGGTGAATCCTGGTACAGTGACGAACGTGATAGTGGATGGTAATAATAAGTTCAAGTATCTTTTTGTTGCTTTGGGTGCCAGCATTGAAGGCTTTAGTTCAATGAGGAAAGTCATAGTCGTGGATGCGAATTTTCTTAAGAATGTTTATGGTGGTATGCTAGTATTTGCCACGACTCGGGATCCTAATCATCACCATTACCCCATTGCAATGGGTGTAATCGATAGTGAGAAAGACTCTAGTTGGAGATGGTTTTTAGAAATGCTCAAAACTGTTATACCAGATAATCCTGAGATTGTTTTTATGAGTGACAGACACACAAGCATAGCGAAGGCAGTGCAGGAGGTGTACCCTCAGTCTCAGCATGGATTTTGTGTGTGGCACTTGTCTCGTAATGTGAGGGTTAAAGCAGCCAATGGTTAGAAGGATTTGTGTTCTAAAAAATTCATTGAGTGCGCTCATAAGTACACCGAAAGTGAGTTCCTAATTGCATACACCGAATTTGGTAGAATGTTTCCCAAAGCTGCGGAGTACTTAGAGAATGGTCTTCCTCTTGAAAAATGGGCACGGTGGAATTTTAAAGGAGACAAGTACAACTTGGACACAAGCAATGCCTGTGAATCAATGAACAACGTTTTCAAGAAGGCGAGAAAGTATGCACTATTGCCTTTGATTGATGCGTATGTTGAGAAAGTGTCTGAATGGTTCAACATGTATAGGAATAACATAGCTGGTGCATCATATTCGAAGAAACGGGTGCCGTTTGTGGAAAACGAATTGCATAAACAATGTGCAATTGCGACCAAATTAGATGTGACTGAGCTAAATCTACCTGGGCTTGAATACAGTGTAGTTGGAGTTGATGGGAAGAGCTATCTGGTTAATTTGGATACAAAAAGCTGTGGGTGTCACATGTTTGATATTGATAAGATTCCATGTGTTCATGCAATAGCCGCAACCATTGCAATGATGCGGACGTCCTCAAGAAGAAGAGACTTACACATTTTCGATTTATGCTCGAGATACTACTTGATTGATACTTGGGCGATGGCTTACCACAGAACCATCTATATGGTTCCGCATCATTCTACTTGGATTATTCCTGAGGAGGTTGCTAATTTAGTTGTTTACCCACCAGACTACACCAAAAAAGC